CCAGAAGACCGAAGAGAAGGACCCCAGAGGTCCTTCCTGACATGATTTTAATCTTAGTTTCCTGGGATTGTTTTTAAATAGAGAATTTAGTTCTATTTTTCAGCTACAAACTTTGGCAAAAGCATTCATCAGATAATCTAGTGCTGGTGCTGCTCTTTACCTGTTTGTTTTCCTTTCTTCTGTTTATGCTGATAATATCTGACCTTTGATGATGAAAGAATTAGATGCGTCTGTAAGACTTTCTTTATCACAAGATTAGACATGGCCTTATCTTTCTTCTGGTGGCTTTCAGTTTGTCTTATTTTGTTTTACTAGTGGTAGTTTGATTTGTATTTGATTACTCTGTGTGAGAGGGGTGGGGAGAAGAGATGTTTAGGTGTAAAAAAAAAAGCCTTTTCTTCTCTTTGAATTAAGCCTGCCTCCTGTATTTTATTTTTATGATAGTTTTTACATGTTCTTTATAGTTTTGCATATCACTAGACATGACTCTCCCTCACCCTGGGAACTGTTCTTTTAGCTAAGATAGGATGACTCTTGGTTCTCGAGACTTCTCTAGACGTTTTCGACTCAAATAAGACATCTGGATTCCCAGTACTGTGCAAAAATGAACCAATATAAGAAAATATTTTTAAAAAAGAAAAAAAAATCTGCATTAGCTGAACTCATTTAGTTCTAGCCACACCACACTATTGTTTTCTTATTTTTATCCCCCACGGTAGCCCTCTATACCCACACCGTCTCTTTACATGGATATCAGTGGAATAAATGCCTGAAGCCCATGGCAGTTTCCAGGCCCACAGACACCACAGAAAGACAATTTCCTCATTAGAATCATCTAAAAAGACTTCTTTGTCGGAGCCCAACTCATAGAGCGCCTGGTTTTGTTGGTCAGGGCTGGGGCCGGGCCTAAGTTCAAAGAACCCTGGGTGACTTTAAAATGCAACGAGGGATGAACCAACCGCCTCAGAGAAAGAATCACTTTCCTGCAAATGTTCCTGAATGTGCTGAAAACTTTTGATTCCCCTGCAAACCCCTCCTGCTTTTGTGGCCCAGCCCTTGGAGCCCAGTGGTCTTCCTAGAAGGTCCTGTGCTTTTGCCAGCCCTCAGTGGGGCGACCACTGATCTCAGCCGTTAGGTGTCAACGGGGAAGAGGAATCTTTCCGTCATGAGTGTCACCCTTCATTGCTGGTTCTGCATTCCTAGGCTTGTTCCAGGGGTCATTTGTCATAGACATGAGCTTGTCTTCCTCAGACTTGCACTAGGGGTACTGCCCAGTCCCATCGGCTTCACAAACACCCATGGTAATGGGTGCCAGGTGCCAGCAAGTGCCCCTTCCCACCCTGCCTGAGGGGAGGACTGCCTGGAGAGGGAACTGGGGGGGGGGTGTCCCCATGTTGGTGATATTCCACCATAGGGTGCTCCTAAAAGATCTGTTGTTTCAAAATCTGAATTCTGTTTGAATGATTATGATTGCAGCCACCTGATTCTAGCACCAAACTACCTAGTATCAAGATCCTAATCTATGAACAAGAACAAAAATCCAAGTATCTGCTTAAAGAGAGAACAGGTGTGTGTGGCTCTGCGCTCGTCGTCACATTCAGAGAAAACAAAGGTCGAGAGGGAGATGGTCTGGTGAGGAATGGAAGGAGAAGCATGAGGGGGGTGATAAGTCCCAACTCTTGACCCACAGATTGGTGACACACCTCCAAGGGAATCACCCTCACTCCTGTGGCTCCATTTTCTCATTAGTAAATTGGAGATTGCAATACTTACCTCAAAGACTTGTTGTGAGGGATTAAATCAGATAATGCCTGTGAAAGTTTCTCTGCAAGCTCCAAAGCACTATATAATTATTAGTTCTGACTATTAGTTTGAGAAACTGGCTTTCATAATGAGCAGCCCAATTAACCTGCGACCTCCCTGCCAGCATTGGAGGCCGGCCTGGGGCTGGAGGGGCTGCTGGAGCTGCTGGGATGGGCATGCCAGGCCCAGCCCTCGGCCACATCCTCGGCCTTTCTCTTCCCTCTTCCGAGCCTCTGTTGCCCCTGAGTGTTAGGACTGGGAGAGCTTGACCAGGGAGGGGAGAGGAATGAGGAAGGAGGCCCAGGAAGTGAATGCAAAGCGCTTTGCTCCAGGACCAGGTGGCGGGGGGGTGGTAGAGAAGCGCAATTGAAAGGGAAAGAGAGGATTTGCTTGTAACTGCCTGGAAGGGTCTATGCCAGGTGCTCTTCATACGCTTTTCAGATTGTGCTGTGTTCTCCACTCGGTGGGCCCACAGGGGTGTGCTGGAGAGCTGCCCGGCTCCATTGGAGCCCACTGCTGGCCACAGAAGTGGCATGGATACCAGCCAGGCGGACCCAGTAGGCATTTACCGAAATGATGGTGCACCCAGTTGTGGAACTCGTCCATCAGCCACTCACCGTCTGCAACTGAGCACACCAAGGGGATGCGACCGCTGGGCAAGGACTGAAGTGTCTTTGCCATGTCCCCTGCCTGTTATTTTAAACAGGTCAATCCAGCTTTAGCTTAAGCTGGGGATGGCAACAAGGGTCTTGCTCAAGGGAAAACCGTTCTTCCTTTAAGTCGTTGTGAAGAAGGTGCTCTCCACAGGGAGTGGTCCTTCTGGCTCCTGTGATAGAGTTTATATCAAAGAAAGTGCTGAAGCTACTTGAGTGTTTTCTGACATATGTGTTCATACTCTAGACTGTCTTGGGCAGAGGGTTCCCCTGGAACTGGTACCCCAGAATGCCTTGGGTGACCAGCAGGGCATCAAGCCCAGGAAATTTGCCCACAGCTCAGGAAATCTTAATTATGGTTAAGGCAGCTTTGCCTTTGGTATAGTGAGGCTCTCCCATTTCCTTTTTAGTATTCCTACTGTGTGCTTTATTCACGATTGCCTATTTAGCCACACTGTTCAGTCACCAGCAGGCCCTTCTTTAGAGACAGTGAGGAAGCATGGCAGCAGAGATGCAGAGGCAACTGAGAGTAGAATCTAGTGTTCTGGCACCTGTGCCTCTGGCAGGAGCCAAGCCTTCCCCATTTTCTCCTTTGTGGGCAGAGGCAAGTGAGTGAGTGACCAGTCTCCTGCATGTATACCTTGCTTCCTGCATCCCTGCCAAGCTCCTGTCAAGGAAGGTAATTGATAAGATTTGCTTGGCACCTGTGAGCTACAAGGCTTAATATAAGGTTAACTTTTATAGTCTTCTCAAAAACCATAGGTGGTGGACATCATCATTTTTCTCAGGATTTATATGAGAAAACAGAGGCCTGGACACGCTAAGTGACCTTTCCAGGGTCACACACCTCCATCAATGGGGAAGCCGTGTGTCAACCACTGGCCTGACTTCAAGTCTGTGATAGGTCAGATGGAGCCTCTGCAGTGACCCTGAAGAGCTCTAGGGGTTGAATTTCCCTCGATTGTGATTGATGCTTTGATTCTGAATAGCAAATTCTTGTAGCTGGTCCAGTTGCTAATGGCTTAACATGGGGAAAAAAAAATGGATTTTCTCTGACTCAACCTGCTTTTCAGTGAAATGCAAAATAAGTTGAGTTGGGATTCTCTTTAATCCTAGATCACATTAGCCTGATGACGCTGCTACATTCATCTAAGCGGTTAATGGGCAAAGTGGGTCAATCCAGCTTTAACTTAAGCTGGGGATGGCAACAAGGGTCTTGCTCCAGGGAAAACCTTTCTTCCTTTAAGTTGCTGTGAAGAAGGTGCTCTCCACAGGGAGTGGTCCTTCTGGCTCCTGTGATAGAGTTTATATTATCATTTCTATTAAACATACTTATTGCAGGAATTGGTAGATTAGGGATGACTTGAAGCCAGAAGTTTAGAATGTTCTGCGAAGAGGTAAATGTTTGGTCAAAATAATGTGGATATTGTCTTTCTGAAATTCCTGGACTCACATGGGATTCAATTAGAAATTTCCATCCCATAGCTAATGGAAGATTTTACATCGATGGCCAAAACTTGGTGTAAATATTTTAACACGTTGGAGAATACACATATGTGTGCACACACATTCAACTTTTGTCCTAATATATGCCACACACTATATACCTACCACTATAATACTGTAGTAGTTATTATAGCTCAAGCAACTTCTGTGTATTAGGTATGTTCTAAGCATATTGTGATTATTAATTTATTATAATCTTCATTAAACTCCCATGAGGTAATTATTATCATCTCCATTTTTGTAGATGAAGAAAAGACACTTAGAAAAGTTAAATTGTTCTTGGTAACACAAGTGTTGTTCTGGATAACGTAAGTGGTAGAGTCAGGATTTGAACACAGGCAGCTGACTGACCTTGTGTGCTGGCATTAGATGGGGGTGCAGTCTAAAAGCTGGATCTCCTGGGCATTAGGAAGAGGTGACTTTTCACGGAGTTTCCTAGATCAATGAACACCTTTCTCTTTCGACCTTGCTTGAAGTTGCTTTCAGATTACATAAGATCTGACCTGCAAACTTCAGATGGGATGTTAATGTGCCTTTTTTTTTTTTTTTAAATTTTTTTTATTATTATTTTTTTTAATAGAGGCATGCTTATTTATTTATTTGTTTGTTTGTTTTTGTTTATACAAGCACTGGGTACAGTCAGAAGCACGGGAGGGTGAGAGAATTCACCAGAGCCAGAGCGGGGAGCAGAGCAGGCAGAAGGACCGAAGTACACTGCTGAGGGGAGCAGCGGGCTGCAGGAGAGGTCTGCGCGCCATGCGGGACCCTCCTCCGGTGGCCGGGGAGCAGCCGGGGATCGAACCGGCGCCGCAGACGCCGCGGGCAGCTTCGCAACCCAGCGCTCAACCGCTGCGCCACCGGGGAGGCCCATGGGATGTTAATGTGCCTTTCACTCTGAATTCTGCTTGCGTTTTTTAAATGACTGCACAGCTCTTTTTCATAATAAGAGGGAGCTGGGAATAAAAGTGTCCACAATGAGAGTATGTTCAGAGAGGTGTCACCTTCTGACAGGAGTTTTGATCTTTTTGCTCTTCTCAGGGACCTGATGCCCAGAACCCTGGACGGCCAGATCACCATGGAGAAGACGCCCAGTTACTTTGTGACCCGGGAAGCGCCCGCGCGCATCTCGGCCATGTCCAAGGACACCAAGCTCATCGTGGTGGTGCGCGACCCGGTGACCAGGGCCATCTCGGACTACACGCAGACGCTCTCCAAGCGGCCCGACATCCCCACCTTCGAGAGCTTGACGTTCAAAAACCGAACTACGGGCCTCATCGACACGTCGTGGAGCGCCATCCAGATCGGCATCTACGCCAAGCACCTGGAGCACTGGCTGCGGCACTTCCCGCTCGGCCAGATGCTCTTCGTCAGCGGGGAGCGGCTCATCAGCGACCCCGCCGGCGAGCTGGGCCGCGTGCAGGACTTCCTGGGCCTCAAGCGCATCATCACCGACAAGCACTTCTACTTCAACAAGACCAAGGGCTTCCCCTGCCTGAAGAAGGCCGAGGGCAGCAGCAAACCCCACTGCCTGGGCAAAACCAAGGGCAGGACCCACCCCGAGATCGACCGCGAGGTGGTGCAGAGACTGCGGGAGTTCTACCGGCCCTTCAACCTGAAGTTCTACCAGATGACCGGGCACGACTTTGGCTGGGATTGAACGCACTCCAAGGTGCAGCTTTCCCCCTTGGCTTATATATTGAGAGAGATTATATGTATGTAAAATGTACAGAAATCTATTTTATAATAATTTATTTTTAATTCATAAGCAATTAATTCACTAAGCTGCCTAGCCACACTCTTTAGAGAGTTAGCTTCATAATCTGTTAACATTCCAAAGTGTTTAACGCTAATATTTTGGGTTTTTACCCCTCACAATGGATGGTGCTTCCGTTTTTTTTTTTTCCCCCTCACCCATTCTATTTAAAAAGAAAAGCACAACTTGAGATTTTTGTTGTTACGGGTATTCAGCCTTTGATTGCCGCCTCCTCCTTGTGTCTTGGGTCGTATAGTCCACCTCCATTTCTCTCCCTGCCTGTGTACCTCAAATGAGCACTGAGCTGCCTCTGCATGCAATCTGAAGGTCAGAGCTGTTGCCGCAGCTTCCTCATGGACATGATGCCATTTCTGAGGACATAGATGCCACCATGCTAGGTTTTCCCCGAAGTCCTCTCAGCACAAGAGGGAATACTACCTTTGCAGGGACATCCGCATCCTTTTAGAGTTTGCATGCCAGGGTCCATTTACTTCAGCTTTTGGTTTTGAAGGATGGCCCTACCTCCTTTTCCACCCCAGTCCCTGGTTCATTAACCAGCTTGAAGTATATGCAAATCTTAGCCCCCTCATTCCCAGGTCATGTGTATGAGATGCTTGGGTGCTGCTTTAGAAATAGACTGTGTCTTCTAATTTGCATGAGAGCACACCACACTCCAACCTCCAGGCAGACAGTTCTGCTCTGACACACCAAAGAATCCCCTAGGCTGGCAGAACTACCTGCACAAACCCAGGGTGCTGGGTGTCAAGCCCGAGGGGTCACATGCATCCCATCTGGTCAGTGTCTACCAAGGTGCTGCTGGGTACAGAGCCAGCCCATGTTGGGCACATCCCAGTAGGCCGGCAGTTTTGATGGGGAGAAAAGACCAAGACCCCCAGAAGGGTAGGTGGCCTGATGGAAGAAGGGAATCTCTTGGGCCCCCTCTGCTTGAACTTCCCTTTTTGGAATTCCTGGCTCATCTCAGACTGACAGGGTGTTCTGTAGCCAACAGCCAATGGTGAGGATCAGAAGTAGTTCTTGTCAAGACAGACTGGGAAAGCTGGCCCCGGCATGGCCGTCAGCACGAGTCTGATACTTGTGAAACTGTTTTAGCCAGGGCCTGCATGAAGGCTTGACAACATTTTTGCTGCTGATGCGAAATGCTGTCCCTGTATCTCTGCGCCGAGAGAGCAACTGACATCATTTCTGATGACAAGCTAGTGGCAGCGGGTAACCACATAGCAATATCACAAAATGACACATTCACTTTATCTTTGATTCTTTAAACCAGGATGCTTTTGCCATAAAAGAAGTGGTATTTGAGTTACACTTTCATCAAGGAATATGGGGCAAAGTATACATAATGTCCCTTGGTTGGGTTGTGATACTTACAAAGGCTGCTTCTGTAACTCACGTGATTAAAGGAAGAAAACTTGTGTGAAGAGAGAGGGAGAAAACAATCATCTTTAGAAACTGGTCGAGATGTCCCTGGTCTTTATGTAATGTCTGGTTGGTCATCAGGCTTGTATTTGCCCACGGGTTTAGCCAGGGCTCACTAGCTTACACTGAGCAGGAAACTACCCTCGTGTAGGTGTGTGTTGGAGGAAGTGTGTAGGAACTCTGTGCGTTCCTCAGATGCTAGCTTCCATTCACAGCTTTTTTACTGCTTCTACCACATAGAACACGCACTTAGGGAAACGCTGTGATTCTCCCTTCTTGCTGCTTGGGTGTCAAAGACACCTGCGTCAGGGTGCTAACTGGCGGTGCATCTCTCTGATCAGAAGGTTCATTTGAAATAAAACAGAGGACACCTCTTTGTAGCTACAGCTGAACATTGCTGCATATAAGGGAGTGTTGCTGTCCTCACCTGGTCCCGCCCCGGCCCTGCGCTGGCTGCTCGTGTTCTGTGGAATCCCCAGAACGTCAGAGAAGGTTAGTGGCTCCAAAGCGGCAGTAAAACAGGCAGGGGCTTTCCCTTCCCCTTCAGGTCCATGCTGTCTTTCCCAGCTGGGTAAGTTTTGATTAAGTTGTTTATTCCCTGCCTTAACAAAAATAAAAACCGGAAACAGGGAATTCTCAGATAGGAGGAGGGTCATTTAGTCACGAACACTGAAGTGGGTCAAGATTCTATTCTGGGTCAAATCCTTGAATCCAAACAGATGTCGATAATTAGCTCTGATGCACCAGAGCAAGTTTTTATATGTAAGACAAATAAATCAAACTTCCTGTGCATCTCTGCCTAGTGGTCTGGTAGCTTGTACTCCCCGACTGATCCGCACACAGCATCTGCCCCAAGTTTACACCCCATCACGTGATGGTTATTCCAGGGCCGGAGCCTGTATGTCTTCCTCCCGGAGAAGTTAGGCAACACGTAAAGTTAAGCCTTGGATTTCTTCCTGCTCTAGCAATCTGCAAAGCCACCAATTTCACTTTTGCTGCTAGAAGACAAACACCATTTCATGTTTTGGCAATTTGTCCTAGCACATGTTTTGGGTCTCTTCCAATTTATAGGAAAAGCTCTGATAGTCGTTGGAGTGCTTTATTCCTGTTTTGTTTTTCTCATTAAAACAAAAAAAAAGGTCAATAAAAAATCGGAGGGTTTGATTGTTCCTCTCTCTCCCATGCTGTCTTTGAGGTGTTTGTACAATAGTCTGTTAACTTGGTAGGTGGTACCGGAAAGGTATTTTGGTCTAGTGACTGCATAATTAATACTTAATTGGAGGATGGAAGCTGAGAACTTGTCTTCTTCGTGGGATTCTCTTTGAAAGTCATTTTGAGTGACAGATACATTCTAGACCTTCTGAGAAACACAGTTTCGGATCCCACCAGGATATTTCCATAAAAAAAGAAAATGGGAGGTTCCAATAAACTAGAAACACTTAGTGTGTATGTAAAATGCTGACACAGAAGTCAATGTCACTTTTCTTTCCAGTCTATCAAGAAGGATGGTCAATAAATCTTAAAGGTGTGGTTAGATTTTTTTTCACTTTTGTAACATTAATTTATGACTGAGTTTCATTCAGCCCAGTAATCTGAAATACCGTGCAAATTCTAGCAGTGTGTCTTCTATAACCTGGATCTTAGCATAGCCAATATGTACAAAAAAATTAAATCAAGTATTTTGTCCTATGTATAACACAAATTAATTTTACACAGAGAAAGATGTTTCTAGGAAAATGAAATTCTGGTAATTCATACTATTGCTTTGTATGAACAAATAAAATATATTTTACCAACTTGCGGGTACTTTTGTGTTTTATTATGGTCAATAAATCTTAAAGATGGGGTTAGGATTTTCTCACTTTTGTAATATCATGACTGAGTTTTATGAATCCTAGTTATCTGAAATACCATGTAAATTCTAGCAGTGTCTACTACTCTGCCTTGCATATGGATGGGGAAGAGTTATTTTATTCAGTAACTAATCACACACACACACACACAGTTATCCTGAAGGCAAGTTGGTCTTTTTAGATTTTAAAAAGGATCCGATCCAAAATCCAACTAATGCATAAATATTCGGGGTGGATTTTTTGGTAACTGACTGACAGAGTGGGTGAGAGGGCTTCTGTCCCCAGTAGACGGGTGCCTCCCCTGAGGAAGTGTGTCTGTGACTCTGGCTTCCAAGGGTACCTCCGCTTCGGAGTTGGCTGCCTCAGGCAGGGCATCATCCACTCAGGCACGATGTAAACAGAACTCTGGTGGTTGGGTCATCAGATAATGTAGCATGGCCTCCTCCTGCCTGCAGAGTCTTCTCATGCCAGTTATCTGGAGATGCTTATCTGTGGGGCAGAGGCAGGAAAAAGTTTGGACAAGAGACATTTCTGTTTCTTTAACCTGAAGCAAACAATCTTCTGTTTTCTTTTGACATAGCATACCATAGATATTATTCACTATTTTAAACATTTGATTCATTCCTTGTTTTACTTAACTTTTTCAGTTTTCAATTGAGATTTAATTTGGTACATGCCTCGTTTTGTTTTGTGTGTGTGCGTTTTTCCTTCTTTAGAGAAAGAATCAGAGGGAGAGATAACTGGTTGGGTTTTGAAGTAACTGACACTAAGTTGATAAATTTAGACTCAGACTCCAAAGTTGCAACTTTTTTTTAATTCACTTTATTGAGGTATGGTTGCCATACAAAAAGCTGTGCATGTTTTGTGTATACACCTTGATGAAATTGGAGATGAGCGTACGTGAATAAAGCCATCACCACAAATCAATGCCATGAATATAACCATCTCTTCCAAAAGTTTCCTCTTCTACCTTTTTTTGTAAAATTTTAAGTATACAATTTAGCATTTTTAACTCTAGGCACCATTGTGTACGATTGCTGTCTAAACTTTATTTTGCATAACTAACTTATTTTACTTAATCTGAAAAGGAATGTATTATAGGCTTCATTGAAAAGCTCTAGCTCTTGCCATAAAGAGGAAATAATCATAAAAATAAAATATAAATACATTGTGTATATGTACCACATCTTCTTGGGATGAGGAAAAAGACTAATTATGATAAAGTAAAAATCAAAATCAACAAGCAACTATAAACCAGAGGCACACTACGGGGCAGGGGATCGGGAGGAGAAGGGAGTAGGATCAAAACAAGGGTGGTTGGTGGGAATTGTATGGGGACTATAACCAAGATGAAAATGCATACATTGTGCAAAGATGAAAAATGATGTAAAAATATATAAAATGAAAAAAATGAAAAAAAAAAAACAATGAAAACAAAGCAATGCTAGTAATTTCTAGCTAGAGGGACTTAAGCCATGTTTGCCGCGGGCTTACTCACTGTTCCTGGCAAAGGTCACTCCTGCCAAAGACCAGCACTTAACCCAGGCTCCATCTTGCCCTGAGGATGGATGAGAATTGAAGAGGGAAGGACTCTCTGTGTTAGTGTTCAGTCCACAAATGCCTACAATATGAGTACCCCCAAACCCTCCCCGGTGGTTCTCTGGGTTTTCTCACACTTTGGGAAGCACCGCTTCACACTGAGAAAAGGCTTGTGAGAGAGACACAGCATTGGGGGTCAGCTTAGCATTCTGGGAAGCAGTGAAAAGACCACCCTTCCCAAGAGTGGGACACTGGGTGTCCAGTCTTCCCTGCCACTGGGCTTTCAAATGCTGGTGTAACACAGACGGTCCCTTCCAACCTAGGAGTGTGCTGCTGGCTGAACTATGCGTGGGCCTTGAATGCTGACCTGACTCTGCACCCCATGCCATCAATTTTATGTTTTGGTTTTTTTTTTTTTTCCCCACAGAAAGGTAATAAAACATCCTACGGTACTCATTAACCTGATGGCACTGTTGAGAGCAGTAGTTCTTAAGCTTGGGCAAATATCCGAATGACCCGGAGAGGTCTTAAAAATAAGGAATACTAACACACCTGAGCCGGATTCCATTAGAATCTCCAGGGAGCGAGGCCTCAACATTGGTATATTTAGAAAGCTCCCCAAGCATGAACCTTGAGGACATTATATTAAGTGAAACAAACAACTCAGAGAAAGATAAATACTGCATGATCTCACATGTGGATTCTAAAAAAAGACAAACTCAGAGAGACAGAGTAGTGTGGTAGTTACCAGAGAGTCAAAGGGCACTAACTTTCGGTTGTGAGATGACCAAGTTTGGGGATCTAATATACATGGCGATGTTACCTAATAATATTGTATCATATATTTGAAAGTTGCTAAGAGAGTAACCTTAAATATTCTCACCACAAAAAAGAAATGGTAATTACGGGACCGTAATTACTCATAATGGTAATTATGGGATGGAGGTGGTAGCTAATAATACTACGGTGGTAATCAGTTTGCAATTTACAAATGTATCAAATCAACACATATATACCTTAAAGTTACACAAGGTTGTGTATTCATTATATCTCAATGAAGTTTGAAAAAGTCAAGAAATAAAACAAAATTGAACGCCCCTTAAGAGATTCTAACTTGTAGCCAAGTTTGAGATCTGAGGTTCTACAAGTGGTTCTCAGATCACACTGGCATCACCTGGGAACCTGCTAGACACTCCAGTGCTCAGGCCCCACCTATGCCTCTGAATCACAAGGTTTAACAAGGCCTCCAGCTGATTCTGATTCCTGGTTATGATTCTTATAAAGTGTGTAAAGTATTCCTATAAAGCATGGCTTGATAGTGCAGACTTCTCGTCAATTTAAACTTAGAGACTTTGGAGTTCTCATCAAGTACATCTCTTCTGTACCACAATTACTGAGCAGTTGCCTTTATAACTTTTAGACCACTCTCATGGCAGTCCAGATAATGGCCACATCTGCCAAGCCTCCCTCATCTTCTTGGGCCCTCTTTTGTCAGGAAGTCACCAAGTTGTCTTCTATAATGTGTTTCTGGAAGTAGAACAAGAGATTTATAAGGATTTTTTTTTTTAAAGAGGGTTAAAATCCTTTAAACACCTAATTTCCTTTTACCATCTAGATTTCAATCTTCTACAATATATTTCCAGCATTTTGTGTAGCATTTCAAGAGGAACTTAGTTGCCACTTTGCAGTGGGAATGCTATGAGGGACACAGCAGTTGTGGAGCAGGTTTGCAAGGTAAGACTCTGCTACTTGCGCGGAAGTTCTTGTGCCATTTATTGAAATCACACAGGCTAGTAACAGCTGATCATGAGACAATAGTATGAGGAATAAAGTCCAGAGGGTAAGATAGGAATGGGGGACAAAATTTTACGAGGGACAGGGAAGAGGACATTGTGACCATACATCAAGAGACATTTGTGTCAGCAAAGTATGATGTTATCACAGGCAGAGTTACCTGAGACCGCCATGGAGATAGTCATGTAATCAGGTCAACAGCGGCCCAAGCGGCCCCAGGCCTGCCTCGTGATAGAGCTATACTCCGTAGGTAGTCAAGGAATGCTTTGCTATGACTTGCAGAAAAATAGGTCACAGTTGCCCATGAGAGGCCAGCTAGAAGCCAGCACGTAGGAACCCACAGTGTATGATTGATAATCATTTCTTTTTCTCCTTTTCAACTGAATACACACAACTGACCCCTGAATCCATCAAGGGCCACTCAGGGCCAAAGATTCCAGCTAACCGTCTTGGTCTCAATTATAACACACTCCTCTAAACTTAGAGTTCCTGTCATTAGAATGTAGCTTCATTTTTCCATTCTCATCTTTATTATTACTAGGTGTGAAAGTGATATATTAAAAATAGTCATGTTATTGTACAAAACCTCCTGTGGCAACATATCAGTAGGCTCAAAACTAGCATTCCTCATTTGGGAGTATGGGATTCAACAGTGTGTGTGTGTGTGTGTGTGTGTGTGTGTGTGTGTGTGTGTGTGTGTGTGTGCTAAAACTGGAAAAAAGGGCTATAGCATACGTGAATTAATCAGGCTTTTACACCACTAGCCTCTGTAGCTAACACCTGTGGCCTTGATCATGTTAATGCAGAGGGAGCTTGCGAGCTCTGCCTGATTGTGGACACCTGGAGTGTGGGTGCGTGCACATGTGTGAGTATGCACACCTGAACCTAGAGGCTAGGCTAAAAGCAGAGGAGGAAGAGCAGCAGAACTACAGAAGAGGCTAGATGAGACCACGAGAAAGAGGATGCTGGAGAGAGCCCAGGGGAAGAGCAGAAAGATTCATGGGGTGCTGGGGGCTCGGTTGCCTGTCTGCCTCCCAGACTCCCAGCAGGGCCTGTGCCTGCCTCCTTGCATGCCAGCCTCCCTGCCTGGTGTGCCTGTGTACCTGGTTCCCTGAGAGAATTAAAGCCTGAAAAATCCACCAAGAACTCTAGGACTGTCCTCATCCATCTGCCTGAATCCATAGTGAAACTGCCCTCTGCTTGTTGGCACTAGAAGGACCAGGTTCATAGTTTCCTGAGAGATGAATATCAAGCCTGGAGGACCTGGGCCCTGCCTGACTTATGTGAGGGTGTGTTTCCCCTTCAGGTCCCTGTGGCCCCCTCACTGGGTAGAACCTTTCATAGTTGCTCATGGAATTCTAACCTCAAAATACCTAGACCTGGGGTATTTTCTCTTTTGATATAATTTAGCACCAGAGGAGATAACAGAGGATACCAAGTCTCTGTTGGAAGCAGTGAACAAGCAGGAAGGCTCCTGAGCTTCCTGAGGACAGTCATCTGATGTCAGAGATGCTTGGAAACTAAACTCAAGATATGACATTTCATATGAACTGGAATGCGAAGGGGCTGGAGTCAGAGATTGGATCCTTCATCTGATAACTATTGAGTCCTTGTCACTACTGGAGACACAACTCTAAACAAGACACACTTCCTGATTCAAGGAATTCATATCCATGGGGAGCTAAAGTTGAAACCCAGATGTAGTGTGACGAGAACCACGATGAGGTGCAGTGGGAACCAGCACACGAGGACCTAACTTCTGAAACAGGTAAGGTGAGCATGGAATCTACAAATTGTGTAGGATGTAACCACATAATCAGAGGGCAGGAGTTAGGGAGGCCGAGGAAGGGAGTCACACGTGCAGATAGAAATGTCATAAACTGCGGCCTGTGGGACCTGCTGGCCATTTTATACCCTGTCTTCTCTGGTCCCCATGCTCCAGGCACAATAGCCTTTCATTTCCTGGAAGGAGCCAAGTTCTCTCTGTTGCTACCATTCAACTCTTACTGCTTATGCTCATCTTTCAAATCTCAACCACCCAGTCCAATGAATCCCTCACTTGGTCTTTTCTAACTGCCTGTCTTTTCCAACTAAGGTAGACAATTATGCCATGAAACACACCTGACATTTGCACCCGTGGGTATCCCTCTCCCATCTTGCCACAGTGCTGGACCTGTGACTGCTCCACTCAACAGAATATTGTAGAAGCAGGGCTGTGCCCTTTTCAGCACAAGCCCTGAGTTGGCTTGGCACTTCTGCATCCCCTCTCTCAGAACATTCGCTTTTGGGATGCTTCCACTGGGAACCCAGCTGAGTGCTAAGAAGAGCCCAAAATACACAGAGAGACTAAGTGTCAGCATTTTGGTCAGCCTCAGGGGAGCTCCCAGCATCTAACTTGATTCAGCTCCCGGCCTACTAGTCTGTTACGTTGGCTGTTTCTTGAGCACTCGGCTACAGTAGATAACACGGAACAGAAGAACCACCCATTTGAGCCCAATCAATCCACAAAATGGGGAGGAATCATGACAGCTTTTTCTCTTAAGCCACTACATTTGGGAGCAGTTTACTTTTCAATAATAGATAATTCACACAGTCACCAATCTAAGTCCACTTAGCTCCTACTTTAGCTCGTGAAATCCAGTTCCTTGCCATCACAGCATTTGTGATTCTGTGCACCTGTGTATGTATTTGCACTTGCTTGTTGCCTTCCTCCACTGCTAGGCTGCTGTCTCCATGACAGTGGAGTCTATGACTTGTTATTCACCAACAAAGGATCTTCAAGACATCTAAGAGTTACAAAATTGTCTGATGAATGAGAGAATAAGAGGTTTAGATTATACCCTGAGGATAAAAAGATATGAATTTTAAACAGGTGAATGACAACATAATTTTATGAAGAAAAGAGGTGGTGTTTTAAAAGCTAGCTTTTAATGAGGGCAGAATACTTCTTAGAGGG